TAATGTTTTCTTGGTTGTCACCTTTTGCTGGTGTAAGCTAACGTCAGTGCCTAAAGATTTTAAGATTTTTACTGTCTGCAACCACAGGAGATAATACTTCAGAAGTCAGACACCCTATAAAATTCAATGTGATGTTGGTTCTGGGAGAATTTGTAAGAAAAAAAAATTGCTGACCCCTTTTGATCTGTCAGTTTAAAGCAAGAGGGGAAGAGTGGTACATAGAAAATAATACAAGGTCAGCTCAACTCTGTCCCAATAAACACATCTGTGAATTTTTTGTAGACTTTGGTGGTTTTTCAGAATTTAAAAATCTATCCCTTTTTATTGTAAGGGAATCCATGCCACCATATATTAAAGCCAAGTTTCCCAACCGAGCCTTGGCCTACACTAGACAAACTAAAGTCACATTAATGGCATATTGATTTGCTATTGCTGCTGTAACAAATTACCATGAATTTGGGGCTTAACCAACACAAACCTGTAGGTTTAGATCCAACTTGGGTGTCCCTGGGCTCAAGTCAAGGTATTGGCAGCTCTGGGTTCCCTTCTGGAGGCTGAGGAGAACCTGGTTCCTTCCATTTGCAGCCTCCGGAGGCTGCTTGCATTCCTGGGCTCATGGTCCTTCCTGTCTGCAAAGCTGGAAATGGTGGGTTGAGGCCTCAGCTTGCATCACACTCATCTTCCTGCTGCCCTCACACCTTTTTTTCTGACCCTGACTTCCCTGCCTCTCTTCCACTTCCGTTGCCTCCCTTTTCTACTTAGGACCCCTGTGACTGATTATATTGGGTTCACGCAGATAATCTCCATATTTTAAGGTTATCTGACCAGCTTTATTAATTGTCTGCAACATTAGTTCTCCTTTGCCATGTAACAGCATGTTCGCAGGTTCTAGGGATTAGGACATGGATATCTTTGGGGGTCCATTATTCTGCCTACCACATAGAGGTCTGAATTTACCACCAACACTACTTATCTTTAAAATGTTGGCTTTCTAACTTCATTAACGACAACTGTTGACTGTCTTGCTTCTGAGCAAGATACAGTATGGAAAGTGGCATAGCTCAAAACTGAGTTCTGCCGTGCGCTCGGTAATTGCTGCAAGACTGATATACTTACTTTAAACGATGTCTGATCACAAGTAGTCGCTGCCAGGGAATCCTAAAGGTCAATAAAGGAGCCTCCAGGGCCAGGTGTCCATAAATAAGAAAGACTTTCTCTTAAGAGTCAAGTGATGGAAGTAAAATCTCAGCTGCAATGGCAAACAAGTTGAGTTTTTCAAGACGACTTCTGGGGCTCAGTAGATAGGACAGAATTGCAGCTATGCCACAATGAAGCTACGGGGTGTGGGAAGAGCTATGAAATGAGTGCTCCATGGCTAACTTCGTTCACTTATTGCCTGACTGACCTCCCAAAGGTTAAATATCAACTTCTCACTGCTGAGCAAAATACATCTTAAATTTATAGCTCTCAAGTATAATTGGACAAATAGCCAAAAGCCACATCTAATTATTAAAACACTTGATTATACATTCTTCATAGCCGTAACAGTAAAATCCATCGCAGGCACTTAAAAATCACATTAAAGACCTAAAATTTCATTGCAAGTATCCTAGAGGTCAGAGGGAGTGTTCATAACAGCATGTTTCACTCCAGGTAATATGTATAATTCTACAATCAGAGATCGTTTAAAAAACTTTACAAGCCCCAGTTTTATGTAGTTCAAAGAAAGACTTTATTTGGAAAGAATATCTTTATTTCATTGTTCCACCATTTTCAAAACATTTTTAAGTGTTCAAAGGTAAACAGAAGATAATCAACTATAATAAATAATGAGTTTGGGAATAGTATGCATAATCAACAATCATTTGGAAATAGTATACATAATTGTGTTGTGAAGGTTAATTTTATCAACTTGCCTGGGCCACAGAGGTGCCCCAGATATTTGGTTAAACATTATCCTGGGCGTGTCTGTGAGGGAAGAGATTACCATTCGAATCCGTGGACTTTGAAAGCCCATTGTTGGCCTCATCCAATCCACTGAAGGCCTGAGTAGAACAAAAAGGTGGAGTAGAGAGAATTTGCTCTTTGCCTGAGAGTTCAAGCTGGGACATCAGTCTTGCTTCAGACTCGCACTTGGATTGGAATTTATACCACCTGATCTCCAGGTTCTCAGATCTTCAGACTCAGACTGGAACCATGGGCTATCCTGAGTCTCCAGCCTGCGGGCTGCAGATCCGGGGACTTCGCAGCCTCTAAAACCACATGACGGGCGATGGCGAGCACTGTAAGCAGCATGGTGACTGTTGTCCTTGTTGCTGTGGGACTGGCACCAGGAGATGGAAAGCTGGAGACCTTAATACGGAAGCCCTGGACGTGCCATTGCGAGGCCTCCTCCAGGGCTCCCATATATTTCTATTTTACTTATTATCATAGCGTAGATTTAAAATGTATTCATTAAAAATAGTCTTTTCTTAGATTTTAGGCAACATAAAAACAAAACAAAAAAACACATGAGTGCACGCGCTCACAGTCATGTTATATACACATATGTGTACATGTTACCACAGTGTGGTTATGTGATGCAGCACCACCACCCTTACACATAAAAAAGCACCTGAGGCTGCCCTGAATGCTGGAGCGTTCCTGTCTTCGGATAGAAAGCCAACGAAGAGGAACCCTGCTTTTATATATCCAAATCCATTTCAACCCACACCTGAATGTTTTCCATTACCCAAAACAATGAGGGGAATGAATAAAAAATAAACTTTGAAAAAAAACTGGAGTCTAAGATTAAGACCCTGATTGATAAAAGGCCTGGTAGCTCACATCCTTCAAGTCTCAATTCAGAAGGCACCTCCCCAGAGAAGCCACCTTTGACCACATCAATAAACTAGTCCCTACCCTGGCCGGTCGCTCAGTGGTTAGAGTATCAGCCTGTGGAGGGAAGGTTCATGGGTTTGATTCCTGGTCAGGGGCACGTACATTGGTTGCAGGTTCCCCAGCCCCAGTGGGGCACGAGCAGGAGGTGGCCAATGTGTCTCTCTCACATCAATGTTTCCTCTCTCTTTCCCCCTCCTCCCTCCCTTGCGCTCTCTAGAAATCAATGGAAAGAATATCCTCATGAGGATTAAAAATACATAAAGTAGTTCCCACCCAACTGCACTATCTTTGAATGGGTTCTCAACGGGAATTCCAGGGAACCCTGGGTTCTGCAAGATATTAGGGGTTCCACAAGAGCCTGTGACTGAAAACAAATCATTCTTCGAAAAACTTTGCACTGTGCAATGCTAGCACTCACAATGATCAGTTGTCTTTCAGGGCAGTGTTCACCTGAGCCCTTCTCGGTGAGTTTTTGACACTATATAAGGGACTCCATCTGATCTTTGGTCAGCACTATTCAGGGGGCGGTGGAGAGGGCAAGATGGTATCAGCCTCTCCATCCTGAATGACAGCTCGCCCAATCTCCCCACGTCACGGACTCACAGCAGTAAGCAAGCTCCTCCATTTAGAACGTTGGAGAGAAATTTCTTTCCTAAAGAAGGACATTTTAAAAAATATATATTTTATTGATTTTTTACAGAGAGGAAGGGAGAGGGATAGAGAGTTAGAAACATCAATGAGAGAAACATTGATCAGCTGCCTCCTGCACACCCCCTACTGGATGTGCCCGAAACCAAGGTACATGCCCTTGGCCGGAATCGAACCCGGGACCCTTCAGTCCGCAGGCTGACGCTCTATCCACTGAGCCAAACAAGTCAGGGCACAGACATTTTTGAACGCATTGTGACTCAGCTGCCCATCCCTGCTGCTTTGGTGACCTAAGGCAGTGGTCGGCAAACTGCGGCTCGCAAGCCACATGCGGCTCTTTGGCCCCTTGAGTGTGGCTCTCCCACAAAATACCACATGCGGGCGCGCACGTACAGTGCAATTGGAACTTCGTGGCCCATGCGCAGAAGTCGGTATTTTGTGAAAGAGCCACACTCGAGGGGCCAAAGAGCCGCATGTGGCTCGCGAGCTGCAGTTTGCCAACCACTGAAAAATGTGGATTGTGAAGAGAAGTAAATTGTTAGCTTTTTTTGGCTTGTGTTTCTCATTTTATTTTTTAAATGATGCTTCTGTTTATATTTGTGTTTCATTTTTTAAAATGGCTGATGGCCCAATATGGCTATTTTTTTTAGGAAAATATATGGGATTGAAGAGGAACATTCTGTAATTAAGACCAATTACAACTTTCGGAGTCATTGCTCTAAAAAGACAAAGAATACAGTTACCTATCATGAGTTTTAGGCTGGCTGGTAATCCAAGCTGCCTATTCCACTGTGTGTTGTCAAAAACTTAAAAACGTAGCTGTGCCTCCAAAAAATTTGAAAAGACCCTAACTACAAATCACAGCTGTGTGATAATAAAGGTGCTAATTCTTTTACATGCTACTGGAAACTCAAAGGGAGTCAAGTTTGTTTTTTAAAGTTACATTCAGCCGAAACCGGTTTGGCTCAGTAGATAGAGCGTCAGCCTGTGGACTGGAAGGTCCCGGGTTCAATTCCGGTCAAGGGCATGTACCTGGGTTGCGGGCACATCCCCAGTAGGAGATGTGCAGGAGGCGGCTGATCAATGTTTCTCTCTCATCGATGTTTCTGACTCTCTATCTCTCTCTCCCTTCCTCTCTGTAAAAAATCAATAAAATATATTTTAAAAAAATAAATAAAGTTACATTCAGTAGAAAGGCTCAAGGAACTATTTAGTAGCCACACTTACTACTCAAGAGGAAAAGTCATACAGTTGGTGAAAATATCATAAGACCACCATGTAAAATGCTAGGAAAAGATTCAATATGAGAAACTGAAAAGATTCCACTTTCAATAGAATGATCAGTTGACATAACAATGACATGTTTCATGATGCTGAAAAGTAGTGTGTCATGAACTGAAAATCAATAGCTTCTCTATTCAGGTTGATGAGTCAACAGATTTTACCAATAAATAAGCACAGTGTAGCGCTGGTAAGATTTGTAAATGGTGATAAATCTTTACTCGCCTGCGGTAAAGATCCCCCTGGAACAAGCAAAGAGCATGATACCTTTAGTATTTTCCCTTCTGGGACCAAAAGTTCTGTCTTGAAGGAACTGTGTTCACAGTCTGTGCTGAGGTGTCCTGGCCATGGACGGCTCCATAAGAAGTCTCACCTCCCCTGGAAAGAAAGCCTGACAAGGTCACAACACACTTTCTTCAGAGAGGCCTAAAGGAAAAACCTCATGGGGATGAAACGCAAAGTTCTGAGCGGTTTACAAACTGGCACACTGCACTTAAACGAAGGCCACTTCACTTGAGGATGCTCTGAAACCTGTGGAAACCTGGAAAAGGGCACAGGGAAATCTGGGGGCTTAGCAAAGGAAGAGCTCTGAACCTGGTGTTGGAACTGACAGGTGACTTGCACACTTTTGAGAAAACAGTAAGCCGGATTTTTTGGAAGATAAAGAAGATCAGCAGAAACTATTTAGCAAACACTTCATCACATGATCTAGTTGAACAGGTATCTGAGGCCTGGGAGAAATGTTTTGACTCCAAAGTAACAAGATTCTTGGGTTTTGGAAAAATCACGTTGATAAAATCTTGAAATGTTTCTACTGCTGTTCGGCCCTGAGTGAGGAGAGAGATCCTCTCGAGTCACTGAACGCTACCTGGAAGAACTGCAAACAGGTGCAGCAGGGTTTTCCATGCCAGCACCAGCCACTGAAGGACCAGATGAGGGGCCTTTTCTCTGAATCTTCGGCTCAGCTTGAGAACTTGACGTTGAGAGAAGAGAAGGAACTTCGTCAGCTGCAGTCTGATAGGACACTCTATGTAAGATTCCTGCTCTCTCCCCAGGCAAGTTCTGGATTTCTGCAAAAGAAGAGAATTCTGCTACTCATAGGCAGGCAATGGAAATTTTGCTGCAATGTTCAACTTCTTACTTATACGAGCAGGGTTTTAGTAGCTTAACAACAACACGGGTAGCAACAGCCTCATTTCAATTGAAGATGAAATCTGTGGGTGCACATTTCAAATTTATTCCAGGATCAGGTATTTGTGCCATCCAAAATAAGCACAGGTTTTCTTTCTCTTCAAGTATTTTTAAAGTTATTATTTTTTAATTGACCTATTGGGGGTGATACTGATTAATAAAATTATGTTTCAGGGGTACAATTCTATAATACATTTGTAAGGTCTCTTTTAAAGAGTAAATTTTACTTTTTTAGTTTCAAAAATGATATTTTAATGCACAAATAGGTATATAAAAGATTAAGAAACCAATACATGTTCAACAATAATTATTTTATTCTACCATTTCTGCATTTATTGAGAATTTTTATTTTTTATTTATACTTAAGCCTGTAAGCATTTTCCCAACACTTTACATGTCTATAGAAGATTGTATCCCTATAGAGACGATAAATGTTTTCAGGACATGGACCAAAGATTTGATTTAGTTTAAATCCGCACACAGCAGATGCTTACATGTGTTGAGCCTTCTTTTTTCAGTGAATTCTATCAAGATTTGGATGGACAAATTGGGTTTTAAATTTATTCAGTGCTTTGTATATGGCTGTTTTCTTTGGTGATGCCAGGAATAATCACAAGACTTGACAGCAGGTTATACACATGATAAGATTTATTACAGCAAAGGACAGAGAGCAAAAGCAACAGGAAAAATATGCATTGAAGTCCAGAGAGGTTCAGCACAGGCTTCCCATGCCCTTTGTCTGAAGCTACACAGGAATTCTCTCCAGCAGCAAACTACAAGCCCATTTGAGTCTTAGGGTCCAAGACTTCTTGGTGCCTGTTAATGTAAGGATATTCTGCTCTGCAACCAGCCACGGCAACTGAAACTCGGGATCCCAACAATGAAACATGTTTGTGCAAAGCAACCTGACAATCCAATGTGCATGATCCGTTGCCCCAGGTGTCTATAACAAAATCATCACCAACACAAAGAACACTCCAAAAGCCAAATTCCCAGGGTTGGCCACGGCTCAGTCATGGTTCCCGGGAGACATGCAAGGAACAAGCAACCAGACCGGCTGCATTAACTTCTTCCTCACAAGGGTCTGTACATCCTTGCTGTCACCGTTTACCAATTCCTGGCTCGCTAAGAAAAATAGCTCAAAGGTAATTAGTCCTGTCATGTGGAAGATATTTTTAAGACCACTGTAGGGAGCGGCTCTAGGGTTAAGCCTCGGACTGACCTGTGGCAGTGCCACAAACAAGTCCCAGCCTGGAGGGCAGAGCTCTCCTAGCATAATGAAGCCTGACCTTGTAGCCTTCCCTAATTCCTTCCTAAGTAGCTCATGGGCTGTGGGAGGTGCAGCAAGTGTTGCCAAAACAAGAACATTTGTATACATGTTAATCTACCCTTGTTTTAATGACTATAAAATAAAGCATCGGCTTGCAGGCTGGGTCTTTCATGTCCTCATCCAGGCATGGGAGATCTACCAAGCCCCAGCTGTATTCTCTTGTCTGTCTTTTCTTCAATCTTTCATTGCCTCCCCCCTCAGGTTCACCTTTGGCCGTGTTGGTGTGGCACAGATCACTACATCTCTAAATTATTTCCTCTAGGGTAACCTTCCCACCAAACACATCCCTAGTTGCCGATTTCTATGCCTGGCTGTTCAAATGTTCTTTACAAACATGTAGGAAGCAGTACTTTATGTTGTTTAAAGTAAGAGGCCTAGGATTGATAGAGCCCAAAGATGCCAAAACTATAGGGTTACAATCCTTATTATGATTTAAATTTCCCCCAAACCTGGATGCTCAATTTCACATAGCCTTGCCATGATCTACTTGCGGCTCAAGCCAAAACCCTAGATGACTTCTCTTCTCCCCCATCCCCCAAATGCAGTTACTAAATCCAGTTGTTACCTCCCCGAAACTTCCTGAATCTTTCTCCTTGTTTCCATATGACCTCATTTCTGTTAACTGCTCTTTTCTTGCTTCTCCTTCCTTCTCCCCACAGGCCATTATTCACTACAGCAGAGTGGTCACCCCCATTCTTTCCTACAAAGCGACACCACACACTGAAGAATAATTTTCTGAAAAACATCTTACAGGAGGTACTGTAAGCACTCAGGCCACTGTGTCCAAGTGCCTTCCTGTATGATATTTATCTACTAATATCTATTTTATTGGAAAAATAATTAAGTTTCTATCCCAAATGGAAAAATATGCTCGGTGGGAGAGAACTAATCTCTTGGAGTTCTTTGAGCCACACAACAGGAATATTAATAGCTGCTTCCTGCACCGCATCCTCTTTGCTGCAAGCCATCTGGGCTCTCCTCCCAACCGTTTTCCTTTCTCAGCTACTATCTACGTGCAGGGTCCCCTTCATTAGACACTTCTGCTCAATTCCAGTCCTAGAGAGAAGACCACAGCTCAATAGGAGCCTCCCGGGAAACACTCCTTGGGTGGACATATTTCATAGGGCCTTCTGAGGTCACAGGCAGAAGTTATAGATGGCATTCACATAACATCAGCCTTATGAACTTTCAACACCTGAGTCACAAAAACAATAAAAATGATTCCACCTTAACTTAAAATACTCAACTGAGAGAGATGACATAAAAATTAAGAAAGCTCTAAACACATTGAAAACTATACTGAATGAGAGAAAGGCTACTTCGAAGCTTCTAAAGGGCTAAAAACCTTCACAAAAAATGTGTTTCTGTGTCCAAACTGCCTAGATTAGTTCCTAAAGTGGGAGTCTCAAAAGCTTCACACTTATCAATTGTGGTATTTCTTGATTTTAATTTTGTATAATAATATGTGTGCAATTAGTACGCCGGCATGCAAAGTACACAATTCTCATAAAGGTGAACTAAACCTACATATTTAGTGCATCTACTTCTGTGCTCCTTTCCTAGAAGGTAATACACATATGCATTTTGTTACTCCAGAAGGTACAGAAAGTATTTTTTGCTTCTTTTACATTTAAAGTAATATATATAGCAATAAAATCAAATAGGCGAAATGGCATTTATAAAACTAAGTCTCCCACCACCTCCAGATTCTCAGGCCCTAAATCAGAGGCAATTACTTACTATCAGTAGATATCGCTGGGCTCTTCTGCCGGAGATACTCTGCCTGAATACTAAAAGTTAGGGATATTTTAAAGATAACATCCTGTAAAAAAGTCACTAGGCCAGTGATGGCGAACCTATGACACACGTGTCAGAGGTGACACGCGAACTCATTTTTTTGGTTGATTTTTCTTTGTTAAATGGCATTTAAATAGATAAAATAAATATCAAAAATATAAATCTTTGTTTTACTATAGTTGCAAATATAAAAAAAATTTCTATATGTGACACGGCACCAGAGTTAAGTTAGGGTTTTTCAAAATGCTGACACGCCGAGCTCAAAAGGTTCACCATCACTGCGCTAGGCTCTTGAAATTATTATTATTTGGGAATTATGTTAGAATCAACATCCAGTTTTCAAAGATAAGATCAGATAGGCTATCAGTCCAACCCTACAGAATTATAACTGTATTTTTTATTATAATAAAATTACATAAGTAGTTTCCATAGATAGAATTTATATATTGTGGTCCCTAAATTTTAATTCTAATATTGTACCACCATCATTAATGGCTCAAATAATCACTTCTTTCTCTGATTCTTCTCTTTTTCCCACAACAGAAAGCTTTTTAGCCTCTATTACTCTCCATATATACCCCCCCCCCCGCCTCGTATCTTTGATATCTTTAAAAACAATCTAATTCTAGTACATACTTTAACCAGATGGCATTTCTATAAAGTCTTCTTCCTGGAGATGTGACAAAGGACATTATGCTAAAGGATCTGGAATGAACACCAGTTAGAAGGACAAGCAAAGGTAACTACACCTGGGCTGCAGTTCGCTAGTGAAGACACAGCCTCCGTGTTCTCAAGCAGAACAAAGCAACTGAAGGCAGTCTAGGAAATGAAAGAAAATCAGACCAGTTGTTTGTGTTAAACGAATATTTTCATTTTCAGAACTTGAGTGTCTTATTTTATAGAACTGGCACATTTAAAATCACTTGTCGCAAAATAAGGTTTAAACACAATTTTCCAGAAACACATGCATAAGGTGAGATATACATGGTTCCTAGATAAAATCATCTTTTTGTGAGATTATTAGTAAATAATAAAAAAAAAGAACAGTAATTTTAAGAAAGTGGGAAGTCTATGCTAACACGGCTTTCAATACCTTCCCTCCCCACCGATCTTCTGTGTCCATTTGATGACATTAATAGGAAAATCTCCAAAATTAAGAGTAGCATCTGATGGGCATTGAGTTAAACTTTAATCTCAAGCATTCAAAGATGGTAAGAGGTCAAAGCTTCCGTTTACAGTGGCTTGGAAACTTCAAGATGCTAGGCCCCTTGTTAGGCAAACTGCGGCTCACGAGCCACATGCGGCTCTTTGGCCCCTTGAGTGTGGCTCTTCCACAAAATACCACGTGCGGGCACGCATGTACAGTGCGATTGAAACTTCGTGGCCCATGCGCAGAAGTCGGTTTTCGGCCTGGGCGAGTCTATTTTGAAGAAGTACTGTTGATATTTGGCTCTGTTGACTAATGAGTTTGCCGACCACTGTGCTAGGCTATTGTTGGATTTGTAGGTAATCAAAGGCTTGGCTTTGATTATCTATAAAAACATTTTAAGATAGCTCACAATGACAGAATGCTGGCATGTCTTGCATCACACTTATGGATCTAGTCATTACATTATTTGTATAGGTTGAACAGTTTATTTCTATTTAATTTTGGACAAGTTTTTAAGTTTCACTATCAAAATTAGACAAGAGTTTGAACTTTGAACATATCTTTCTTCCCTAAATTTTAAACCCTTTCCCCTGTTTAGGAAACATAATTGCATAATTTAAACTCCTTCAATATCGTGACCTAGTTCCCCATCTTGATGTTATAAACAGTTCAAGTAACTATGGTAACCATCTAGGAAAATGTTTGAATGTTTTTCTGGTCAGCAATATGCAAAGTATACCATATGTTTATTTTTTTCTCTCTGGGATAAGTAGATAATATGTGTTTTTCTTCTTGGTTATGGGATATTATACTGAGTGTTCTCTTGACTACAGTCCCAGTCTGAATTCAGTTCCTTCATTAAAATGTTTTAGGATCATCTTTTGCTGTTAGCAGTCATTCTACATGCTGAACAGTACTATAACCCATTGTAGGATGGATTGTAGGAACCAATTTTAACTCTGTGCTGTCTACCTCATAAATTGAATGTACAGGCTGACATTGCTCAGATTTGTAATATTCTATTTCGAGAACCTGGTGTTTTTTAACTATGTCCTTTAGTCCTAGCTAGTGTTTCCTTAAAGCAAAATACTAAAATGAAATTGCATCTTGGGGGTGTACTTACTGAGAAGAGTTATCTGCAGTTTGTAGTCAGTTTTTAAAAGCTTCATTTTAGCTCTATTTTCTGTTTTTTTCCCCCCATAATTAGTGTGTACTACTAATTATGCAATAACACAATTAAACACGCTTTAAAACTGAGCTCACTGGAAATGCAGTTTTTTTTTTAGTTGCCTGCTGTACTAATGAATTGACTTAAAAGTTTTAGGTTTTTTTCAGTACAATTTAAAATGTTTCACTGGACTTGTATGACACATTATTTTATACTATAATGTGTGAATTAATAAACGCCTAGATTTTTAAGGATTTATTTAGTTGCATTAGGTACAATTACATTTCTACAGTGGGCTAACAATTGGCGACCTTTTAATATGAAGATTTTGTTTAAAGTTATTTTCTTGAATTTCCCTATATATAATTTTTAAATTTATAATACTTTGTTTAAACTATTACGGATGCCCCATTTTTTCCCCCACTGACCTCCTCCTCCTCCCCACTCCTGTCCCCTCACCAGGCCTTCACCCCACTATGGTCTGTGTCTATGGGTTATGCATATAAGTTCTTTGATCTCTTTCCTCCTGAATATCCCTATATTTTTAACAGTGCTTTTCAACCATCTAAATATCTTCTTTAGAGAAACACTGCAATCTGCTTCCCTAAATTAAATAGGGAATTAACTGCCTCTTACTAGTTTAGAAAGGACCTCACTAATCAAATGCAAAGTGTGGATCCTACTGAACAAACCAAGTGTAAAAAGGTATCAAGACAACAGGGAAATTCAAACTGTCTGTGTTAAATGATAGTACTATTTTTTTATGGGTCAATGATATTGCAGATGTTTTTAAAAGTTATCCCTTAAAAATTCATCTGGAATAAAAAAAGACCCCGAATAGCTGCAGCGATCCTGAGAAAGAACAAAGTAGGTGGGATCTCAATGCCAGATATCAAGCTGTATTACAAAGCCACTGTTCTCAAAACTGCCTGGTACTGGCACAAGAACAGACATATAGATCAGTGGAATAGAATAGAGAGTCCAGAAATTAGCCCGAACCAATATGCTCAATTAATTTTTGACAAAGGAGGCATGAACATACAATGGAGCCAAGATAGCCTCTTCAATAAATGGTGTTGGGAAAATTGGACAGATATATGCAAGAAAATGAAACTAGACCACCAACTTACAACATACACAAGAATAAACTCAAAATGGATAAAGGACTTAAATGTACGACAGGAAACCATAAAAATTCTAGAAGAATACAAAGGCAACAAAATCTCAGACATATGCCAAAACAATTTCTTCACTGATACAGCTCCTAGGGCAGTTGAAACTAAAGAGAAACTGAACAAATGGGACTACATCAAAATAAAAAGCTTCTGCACAGCAAAAGAAACCATCAACAAAACAACAAGAAAACCCACCTTGTGGGAAAACATATTTGCCAACGTCATATCTGATAAGGGCTTAATCTCCAAAATTTATAGGGAACTCATACAACTTAACAAAAAGAAGATAAACAATCCAATCAAAAAATGGGCAAAGGATCTAAATAGACACCTTTCAAAAGAGGACATTCAGAAAGCCAAGAGACATATGAAAACATGCTCAAAGTCACTAATCATCCGAGAGATGCAAATCAAAACAACAATGAGGTACCATCTCACACCTGTCAGAATGGCCATCATCAACAAATCAACAAACGACAAGTGCTGGAGAGGATGTGGAGAAAAAGGAACACTTGTGCACTGCTGGTGGGAATGCAGACTGGTGCAGCCACTATGGAAGGCAGTATGGAGGTTCCTCAAAAAATTGGAAATGGAACTCCCATTTGACCCTGTGATCCCACTTCTAGGAATATATCCCAAGAAACCAGAAACACCAATCAGAAAGGATATATGCACCCAGATGTTCATAGCAGCACAATTCACCATAGCTAAGATCTGGAAACAGCCTAAGTGCCCATCAGTAGATGAATGGATTAGAAAACTGTGGTACATCTACACGATGGAATACTATGCTGCTGTTAAAAAGAAGGAACTCTTACCATTTGCAACAGCATGGATGGAACTGGAGAGCATTATGCTAAGTGAAACAAGCCAGTCAATGAAGGAAAAATACCACATGATCTCACTCTTTCATGGATAATTAAGACCATTACAAACTTTTGAACAATAATAAATACAGTGGCAGAGCTGCCTCAAAGTGATTGTCGGACTGCATTGGGAAGGCCAGGGAGGGTTGGGGGACAGGAGGGAGGGGAGTAAGAGATCAACCGAAGGACTTGTATGCATCCATATAACCATAACTAATGGACATAAGACACTGGGGGGTAAGGGAGGGCAGGGGCTTGTCAAGGGCGGGGGGGAAAAAAGGACACTTATGTAATACCCTTTGTAATACTTTTAGCGGAAAAAAAAAAAAAAACAAGTTCACACACTATAAAAAAAAAAAAAATAAAAGTTATCCCTTATCATTTCAGAATTAAAGTGTTTATAGATAAAATGGTAATAATCTAGCAAGGGTAAGGATGTCCTAGATGAAATAATATTGGCCATATATCAATAAATGTTCAAGCTAGGTGAATAGTATATTAGGATTTATTGTACTATTACCTCTACTTTTGTGTGTTTGAAATTTCCATAATAAAAAGCTTTTAAAATTAAAAAGTTGAAAAAAATAAAAGATTTCAAACTTAATTGGCCTGACTCACTGCAGCTGCTGAATTTTCTCAGGAGGCGTCTTGAGGAATTCTTCAGAACTCTTTGCTACTCATTTTCCATCAGAGTTTGAAGTTGTTGCTTTGCCCTCTCAGTATAAACAAGGGCTGCAGGACATAGGTTTAGAAGCATAAATATTTCCCACCAGGTACTTCTCAAAGTAGCTGATTTAGAAATTAAAGGTAATCTCAGACACTTCTACTAATTTGGGGATTTCAGTTACTATTTTTTTTTTTAGGGTTACTTTATGATAGAACATATACTGGAGAGCAAATCAGATACCTTTTTTTGCTTTATTCACAGGATTAAATATCACCAATTACTTCTTGCAGAGAAATGGGAACTTTTATTTATTTACTTTACTTGAGAGCTAAGGAGAGGGGAAGAGGAGAAACATTGATTTGTCATTCCACTCATTTCTGCATTCATTGATTGATTTGTTATTCCACTTACGTATGCATTCATTGGTTGTTTCTCATATGTGCCCTGGCCAGACTGAAACCCTGGCCTATGCAGACAACGCTCTAACCCACTGAGCAACCTGGCCAGGGCGAGAATTGGGAACTTTTGCATTTAACAGAATAAGGGAACCCAATCTGAAAAAGCCTAAAATTTCCAGTTAACTAATTACTGAGGAGAAAAGGACATGGCAAATAATCAAAGTCAAAAGTTGAGTTTGGGGAGCATGGTGATTTCTTTCCCCATGTGGGTACATCTCTCCACAGAATGCTTTCACAAGTTCGGTAGGAATAAGCCACGCCTTTGGTAAACATTTATAAATTGATATAGCAAGAAAAGCACATCTGAAATAATTCACATACACACGCATATCACCATCTTAGAGTGTTCTGCATGGGTTTAGACCAACACAAGCTGAAAAAAATCATTATTTGCCTTTTTTACTTCCTTTCTGCCTGTTCAACTGAATTATGAAAGGTGAAAATAACGCTAGGAAAGGCCTCCCCCACACTCATCCTTCCTTCCTCGCACCTTGCTCTAGGTTCCTGAGGGAGTACCCTCCGTATTCTGCACCACTGCCTTGCCTCACTTCTGGTTTCTAGCCGCCTGTCTTCTCTGCCTGCAGATCACTTCCCAGGCTGAAGAAAACCCACCGGTGCCTTCAGAGTCTACCTGAGTCGACAGAAAACAAGGCATCTTGCATTATTTGGGGCCTTCAATGAAGACCCGATTCAAATCTGTGAGTAAACAGAAACAGCAGGGTTCAGATAAAAAGCAATACATTTCTATTCTTAACTGCGACTGTTTTTTTGTTTGTTTGTTTGACAAGACCCATCTGCTTAATCTGAACGATGTAAAGAACGACAATAAAACCCCTCCACGGCTCTCAGAAATACAGGGCACTGGACTGCCTGGGCTGCCTAATAGTCAAGTGGTCAGAGCCTCCAGGATCCCAGGATAACGCAAGACAATCTCTGTGGAGAGCGGCGACAGCGTCTGGACAGGTTCAAGCCTGGACTGAGGAGAGGGCACAGTCCTGTCATGGCCAGTGCAGGTCCCAGCCTGGAGGGCAGGGCCCTCCCAGCACAGTTATAGCCAACAGCTATGGTTGTGAGCTTGAACCTATGGTCCCAACACGTGGTCCCACGTGGCTGAGTGATTTGGGCTTGATAGAGTTCAGGTGCATATAACTGAGTAGAATCGAAACTCACCAGAATCTTGTAAACATCTTGACCACGCCCTTACTTTCCTTCCTGGAATCTGGCTATGAAATAAAGACACGGCTTGTAGTCCCTGATGCTGTCGTTAGCTCTCCATCAGAGAGGACAGCGTCCCACCCAGACTTCTTCTCTTATCTGTCTTTTCTCCATCCTTCCCCGCTCCCTCTCAGGGTCAGCGAACCTGGCTGAGCTGGGTGGCACATCTCCACGTCCTTGTGCAATCTATCTATCTACCTTGATAAATGATAGATGATAGATAGATAGGTATTGTTTCCAACACTTCGAGTTTCCTGGAGTGCTTTTCGGGGAGTTGACATTTAATTAAAACTTCCTCTAGATCAGTGGTTCTCAACCTTGGCTGCACATTGGAATCACCTGGGAATCTTTTTGAAATCCTGATTTCTGGGCCTCATCCTCCGGAAATTCTGTTTCTTTGTTACTAATGTTGTGGCCCCACCCCATGACAAAGACACAGAATTTCCGGAGGATGAGGCCCAGAAATCAGGATTTTAAAAAGATTCCCGGGTGATTCTAATGTGCAGCCAAGATTGAGAACCACTGCTCTAGAGGAAGGTCTAAATGTCTCCTTGCACGTCCATGGTTACTCACTATTAACAGCTGTTTCAAAGCGCTCTCTCCCAAAGGGACCAAAAAAGGGGGGGAAAAATGGGGGGGGAAACCCCAGTTTGTCGCCCCGTGAGGGGTTTTTTTTTTTCCCCCCCGGAGCCTATTCGTGGGGGGGGTGGGGAGATACAACCCCCATTTAGAGAGGGGGAGTGCTCCCCTCGCACCCTGCCCGTTGTATATCG